CTAGGTAAAAAAGTCAAGATCATAGGTATAAAAATGAAACTACAATGTGTTGAATCGGAACCTACCTAACTAATAAAAACCAAAGATTTAAGTAAGCTAAAGGAGAAAAATCTATAAAACTCTCTAAAAAGGAAAATCCCCAAAGGCTTGGTAGCCATCATAATGAAGTAATGAAATTGGGTTGTTAGCGGAATGCTAAATAAAACAGCAAAAAAGGGTTATCTTCCATTTAATTCCACTTAATTAATTTTGGTATCCATGACAGATACGTATTTCGACTACAATGTGCAGTCTTCATCAGTGTCATTCCCTTATCCTACTTATCCATGTTAGGTAGGTCCAAAAATCCACCAATTATTTTTCAAAAAATATTTTTTCTCAAATTTTTTAAATTTTGAACCATTTCCATGGGATGTGCTGGAGTCTACTTGGGGCTTGCTGAGCTTATGAGAAAAATTCTAGGCAATCTTAAAGAAATCGGAGGAGGAGAATTCCAAGACAATTATAACTAGAATTCCCAACTTATTTTGAAAAGATTTAGTTATGAAAACTGCAAGCTAATAATTTGGGGAATTCCGAGCGAATGAGGAGAATTCAAAGGGAATGATGGAAAACAAATAATCATTGAAAATTCTGAAAATAGTTATATTATTTCCTTAATTTGTTTTCCGTCAATCTTGTTTTCGTTGCTCAGGCACCAATGCTACCGACGCCAGGGAGGCAGCTCTCACACCTGGACCCTACCTATCGACCCATTAAACTCATGAACCGGGGACCAACGGCTTTACTTCCCTCAGGCGTGATCCGATTCCATCAAAGGGAGTGTCACGTCAACACATTCCTACCCATTCCTTTCTTGACCTGCGTTCGGGCGCGGCCGGCGCTGGTTTTGTCTAGTTTGAGAACACCAGTTTTTTCACATTTTGGATGATTGCTAGTACCAAGCTTCGTCTATTGGTTCTCGGTGTAATTACAGCTGATCTGGCAATAACAGAGTAGCAACCGTGGGCGGTCAATCATGCTCATGCTCATGCTCATGCTCCGAAGTAAGGCGTGATCAGAGATTTTATGCCTCAGGAAATCCCGGCGGCGCTGACTGGAATTGAACCCAGGCCTTTTGGCGTGAGAGGCAATCACGCTTACCACTACACCACCTGAAAATAGTTGCAAAGGAGTTTTTAGAAGTGTTCCCAACAAATTCTAAATACCGTTTCAAGGGAAATCCGGGGAATATTTAAAAGTAATTGAACTGCGCGGATAGTTCCAACGAAATTTCAAGGGAATACTCAGTACAGTTTCAAAGAATTTAGAGGACATTTTTTAAAGAATTGTAAGGATAATAGTTCCAAGAGAATTTTGAGGAGTATTACCAGAAGTTAAGGGGATGCTTACTGTTCGACAAAAAAAAAACTTTTTTAATTTTCTGAAAAATTTGGAAAGAGATTGGGGAATTAACGTATTCTCATCATTCTAAGCATTCTCGACTACCTGGAAAAAACCCTGTAAAATCAGGGAATATCAAATATTTCTTTATAACAGAAACATATCAATAAGTATGGCTGACTTCACTAGTTTCAAACAACTTAATTACTCGTTGTAGTTTGAGGATGGTTTTCAATTTCAAATTTTAAATAGAGTTGCGAAGTTGTGGTTGTCCATTGCGTGATGTTGCATTTTTGCAAGTGGATTAAAAGTTACTCAAATAAAAGGGTATTAAGACGTTGTTGGTTGTTACAAATTAAGCTGCTTATGGGAATGTGCGTCTCTTAATAGATGTTGTTCCTAATTGCGTCTGACAAAATTTAACCTTCAAGTAGATTCTGCGTCTCTTGATCCAGCTGTGTCCAACAAAAATCAATCTCTTGAGCGCATTGGAGTGCTTTTGAGTAAATGCAAGAATTATTAAGAGTTAAGCTGGGTTTAGACAAGGCAAGTCATTGATCAACTCAGTTGAATTCAATTGGCTTGAAAAGTTGAGCCTGATTCGACTTTTTTCAATTTAAGTTAGTTAAATGGCATAGTTTACACGTTCAAGTCATTTGAATTCAGAATGGAGGCGAACCAGCCTCAGGCCTCCTCCGAAAGCCTCCTAAATAAAGATAAATCAATCAATCAGTTGACTTGCCTTGTCTAAACCCAGCTTTAAGAGAAGATAATGATTTTTTTTCTGAATATTTCTAGTTCTTGTTTCTTATTGTGTTTTTAACAGCTTGATTAACTCAGAGAACCAACATAATAAGAATTAAGGATAATGGTCTTGCTTGGGAGTTTTTTATTGCTTGGAGGAACACTTTTATGATTGAATAACGATTCAAAGATACGTAGACAAGCATTGCTGCTATTGCAATTCAGATGAAATTAACTTACAGAATTTTGGAGTTGAAAGCGTTGTTTTTACTATTTTCCACGCGAATTAGCTTTTGGTTAAGCATGTTATCCGGAATAATTTTCTTATGGAGCTGTGACCAGTGAACTGGGAAAACCGGAAAAAGCTGGAATTTGAAGTCTACGGGAAAATCCCATGAATTAAGTTGACAAATCTGGAAAAATATACCTCGTCCTCTCTTCGAAAACAATAAGATTTCAAGACCCTTGGACTGGTTTAGATTTTCAGGATAACTACAGTCACTTTGAAGAACTATTAAGAGAATTTTATATATTTTTTCCAGATCTAATTTGAGCAGATTTTAGAATGAATTCTAGAGATAACACCAAGGTATTTCAGAGCATATTTTTTCAAGGAGCTATAGCAAAACCTCTATGAGAGTTTTTACTTGATCTCCCAAGAGTGAAAAGGATTCCAGGATTCCAGGATTCTTGAAAAATACCAAGGAACGCGAACGTGTACAGTTCCAAAATAATTATGCGAATATCTATAAGGATATTCCGAGTATAATTCCAAGCGCATTTCGAAAGGAATTTTTAAGAATGTGAATGAGAAGTCCATGCAATATTCAGAAGAATTTAGAGGAGATCGGAGGTGGATTTCCAGAGAGAAATTCAAATTTATTTTAGAAGAATTCTGGAAAGATATCTGTGAAAGGAAATTAATCTAAGGGAAAGGCTTGAGAACAATCAAGTAAAAGCCTGTAAAGTTTTGTACAAAATGTTCATATACAAATTGAGAAAACTTCGAACATGTCGCAGATCCAAATTCAAAATCCAGCAAAAGTGCTGATGTCTTATAAATTACCCATTTAACCTTCAGCTTAATCGCATTCAGTTTTGTGCTTAATTAAAATACCTAAACCGCGATAATTTCCAAAATTCTATGAGAAAAACGGGAAAATTGCTAATCGAGATTTGCTTGTCACCATGAAGATGAAGGAGATTTGAATGAATATATGCCCCTAGGGTAGAATGCGGATCCTTCCCGTTTTTGGCAACACGGGATTTCTGTCTTCTATAAAATGTATGGAACGCTTTATTTAATTTGAAATTCTACTGGACCACTCTTCCTGGGTTAGAGGTCCGTGTGGTATTTCATGAAAAAATGTCCATAAAGCACTTATATATTCTGAGGAAAGTAATAGCTGATGGGGTTGTGGTGCCAAAACCTGGCACTGCACCTTGATTTTTTTATTTTTTGAAAATTACTGGAAAATCAGGGAATATCAGAGAAATTTTGTTTTCTTCGTTGAGTCGACACCCTGATTCTATTAGCAATTTCTCAGCATCACGCATACATATGTCGTGTTCATTTGTTTACATTTATCTGATGCTATCCATTCCAATCGACAGAATTGTCCAAAACGGCTTGGACACGTTGATACAACTCTCCAAACTTTTTAAAGTGAATGTGACTATTATCGGCAGCCTCTTTTTCTGATAACCAGCTGTTCTATTATAGGCAACTCAAAATCAATTTTTACGCTGAGCTTTCCCTTAATGGGACCAGTCCAAGAGAATTCTGAGCATATTTTAGAGAGTAATTTCTTGATAATTTTGCGAGAACATTTAGATAATACTTCGACGAATTCCAAGATAATTCTTCGATGAATTTCTTGGTGATACTTCTAAAGTATTTTAGAATTTTAAAATTATTTTAAAATGAATTCAAATAGTGTTCTGCTGAAAATTCCTAGTGCTTTGGAACAAATTTGGAATATCAGAGAGAGTTTCTTAAGACGATGCTCGAGTAAATCATGTTTGATAAAATTCAAGGATATCAAGATGTTTCAAACATTCACATCAAATGTAATCAAAATCCAGGATTCGGAAAGATGATTATTTCAAATTTTCTGGCATCACCAGAACGTTTTTCGTTATTTTGAGAAGCTAAAATGTGTTTCTGAAAAAAGTGCCAGAACAAAAGATGTTCCATGCTATCTAAAATTATTGAATCAATAAGAAACAAATTTTTATTTTAAATCAATAGTATTTTAATTGTTTTTTTTTCAATAGTGCACGGTGAAGCTCTAATAAGTACTGACTATATAATGGAAGATTGACAAACACAAGACGAAAAATTGAGGATCACCGCACCCATGGGAAGTAGTGGGCTTACATTCGAGCAGAATCAAATCCGTCTATGCCAGATCATCGACAGCTCATGGCACTTGTGTGTTTATTTTTAAATCCGTTTTATTTTGCCCATTTTCGGTCGAACCAGCAGCAGAACAGAACCGTACCGAATCGACCGAATGTGCTGCGATGATAGGCAGCTCAGTTTGCCACTCAAGAAAAGAAGGAGGGACATTGACTCGAGTGCTAGATATGTAGTGTTGTTGACTTTGGCTAAAGTGGGGAACGGCCAACGTGTTGACGTTGTTACTTTTTTGTTTTCGCTGAATCAGATTCCTGGGTCCAAAAGTCCGAAGTGCGATCGATCGATTGCATGCTTACGGATGAAGCGCATGGGACGTGCGATATACTCTCAGGGCGTGACGAAGAACCTTTTCAATCTTGAAATAGTGGAAGCTTGCTGTTTGCGTCATAGTGTTTTTATCATACCTTTCGATCGGATATTAATTCGTGTTTATTTTCGTCTCTTTATGCAGATTTTCGTCATTGAAAATGTTCATTTTGTAAGCCAGAGGGGTACGACCATCCCCTTCCAAAAATCCAAATCAACCGACACCGGACTCATCGGAAAACGGACGCAAAATGCCGGTTTTCGCGAACTGCCAGCAGTTCGGAGGACTCCACCACTTCTTCATTCGATAAGAAGCCGGACCAGGAGACCTAGACCCGACCGGAGAAGCTATCCCAGCACAAACGACCACTGGCAATCCCCACACTGAATCGCAAACGGAACACCCAAACGAACAGACTGATATCGCCATGAAGCCACCGACAGGAGAGGACACAGCAGCGCCAGCCAAGCCCTTGGTTATGGCATCGACACCAACATCGATCAGCGCCAGCGGAATGTCCAACGTGGCTACCACTTCGACACAAACACATACACAACCACAACCACAACCGCAACCACAACAACAACCCAGCAATGGCAATGGAAAGAGCTATTGTAGCTCCACAGCATTTGGAACGGTTAACTATCGGATAAAACCCCCTTCAGCGGCAAATGCGGGCTCGTCATCTGCCTCCGGTTCCAATGCTGGATGTTTCATAAAACCATCGCTGTCGCTCAACTCGCTGCCACCGCAGGCTCCACCCGAGGGTTCGGAAATGGCACAGAATAGACTGAGAATCGATCGGCCATATAATAGCTTAAAGGTAAGTTCATGCGTATTTTTCAAAACTATGCTTAATATCATTCGTGATCAATTGCAGAAAAAGCGTGACTCGGAGCGTGAACTGTGGCGCCGGTCGTGGGGCAGTGGCCACAGCCATAGCTCGTGTAGTCTACAGAGCAGCACCACGACCGGCATTGGCAAGGACGACTTTTGGGCGGCACTGCAGACCAACTACAACTTTATCATGGACACAAATCTGCTCGACAGCTGCCGGGAAGCTCGAGGCGAAATCGAAGGTCCCGTCGTTCGAGCCGAAGAAGACGACATGGACTACTATCGGAGGGTGAGTGACTTAGCATCCGCACGTAGGTAACCTATTTTCGAACGCATGTTTTCAATCCCATCCCATTTTAGGCCATGTACAAACCCTCTCCGATGCAAACATTCTACGGTGATCCCCGCCTGCTGCGGCAGTGGATCAGGGAGATGGAGATTCGCATTTCACGGATTCCTTCGATTACGGAGACGAAGAAGCTGAACATCGAGCAGCTCCTGAGGCTCTCTGGAGAACATTCGGTGAGTAATTCAAATTCTTGGCTTCTATTTTCGGCAACAAACATCAATCTAAGTATAGGATTGCTTTAAAAATAATCACCAGAGTGATTCACTTCGTTTGCTATTACTAAACTGCGATACCGAATTTGGAACACTTGAGACGATTGATTGCTTGTTATAAGTTGGTTGGGGCACTTGAGAAAATCAAAATCGCCTTCTCCCGTACCGATAAATCAGCCTGGATTAGCGCTCTTGGATGGATGGACACGCAGTAGGCGGCGTAATCGCTCAATTTATGCACCGAGCTATTTGTCAGCTCCCATGCGATGTTGTTTGTTTTGTGTTTAGTTGACAGCGTGTTGTGCATCTGGCGGAGTAGGCTGCCGATTGGTTGAGCTCTTGAAGTGTGGCCTGCTGTGATGGTCCACCAGAGCGTCGTCAAGGGCCGATTTGATGTTTATTTTGGCGCAGTAAATAGATTGTTTCATCTTTACTACTCCGTCAGAAGAGCGGATGCTGCTGCTGCTGTGCTTTTCTTCAAATTGCTGCATTAAATGCAGCATTGGAGCAAACTGCGTGGTCGGACGACAGAAGCGCTGTGTGTGTGTTAGGATGTATTGATTATGTTTTGGCGTGGTAACCTAGATTTGGGACGCTTAGTCGAATAATGTTTGCCCATCCGGGGGCTGTAAAATTTTATAACAACATGAAGGATGCGTATGTCGTATTGTAGGGTTTTGATGATGTATTTTTCTTGGTTTATTACATAACAAGTTGACAGATGTGTGTTAACTGTCTGAATAAATAAGAATGATTGACATCGTGTGGAAATCTGTGGATCTTGCAGTTGTCGAATTGTGGATTGATTTTCCATCCATGGTCATTCAGCTGTTTTCAATTGATTTACATACCTACTATCCAAATAAAATTTGAATGAATAATATGATTGCGTTAAATTACACCCAATCTTTACGCCTACGTTTTTTTGTCCGTCGGTTACGTCAATTTGCATATTATACAATAAACGCGGCATCGATTTTAACAGTTCAAGATATCGGAGCTCACCTATGCAAATCAAGTACACCATCTTGTACGGGAAAGCTTCCTCTATCCGGTAGTGCTGATGGTAAGCGTAGACGAGCCAAGGAGTAAGTCTCTCAGCACATTGTGCCGGAATTATATTCTACACAGCTTGAGCACATCCATCGGCACATTTTCGGCATACCTCCGGCACAATCTCGTAGGCATTAGATTGTTGTAAATAAAATGGGAGCACTGCTGGACAACTGTCATTGAAGTTGTTCAGAGCATTACGTGCTGTTTGACTGTATGTTCAGGAACATCTTCTAACTGAATATACCAGAGGAACTTCGACCAGCAGTTCACTTATAGATCTAAATACAAAATGTAGGTTCTAGAGTGGACTCAAGAGGAAGAGGCAGTTAATCAGACCTCTTTGGTACTCTTAATTCAAATAATGCTGCAAATCACTCAAAACAAACTAAAGAAGTCTATTCATCACCCTCTATAGTCTGGCTCTAACAATGCTCCCCACCGGTTCCAACTCTTTCCGGCCGAAAGGCTACATTTGTGGTCTGCGTTTGAGGGCATTATAAAACGCTAAAACACAGGACTTTTATTGCCCTATGGATCACAAAACACTGAAAATTCATACACCCACCACTTCCCGTGTCATCCTCAATCCGATTTATCCTTGCGATTTCAAACCAAAACATTCAAGGTGTCAGAAATACCGGGTTGCCGGGATGGGTATTTAACAAACAATCGCAGCTTGCTCTATGACCGGCACAATCGACAAACTTGCGACACACTGACAAAAAAGATGACCCAAGATTAATGTGCGGAGTGACCTACCCCTTGAGACGAGCTCAGATTCGCGGGGAACAGGGCTGGTAGCTAGGTCACTTTTTTCAAGTCAGTCATTATTTCGTAAAATTTAATCACTAATGTCATATTTTTTACGATCAATCTCCGTAAAGAATTTACCTTTAAAAATTACATCCAATCTTTGATTTGGTAACACGAGACGGGAAGAATTGATGATGACGGAGGAATCACTAATGTTTTGATTATTTGTTTTTTAACTCCGTTATCTAGTCATTCATACACATCAAGTCCATTATCTCAGATTATAATATTTCCAGTGATCTCGAAATTGTTAAAGACTTATCATACATTTTTGAGGTTAAGAAAAATGTCTGGTCCCAATATCCTTGCTTTTTACTTCGTAATCTTAACAGTTTTCTAATGCAGGGTTTACATTTGGCGAGTTATAACATAATATTGAAGTGTTTTTTTCTGTAATAACAATTTTTATAACACGTTGAACAAGGCATAAGCTTAAGATGTCGAGAAATGGTCTAAGACAATTTTCAAGCCATTTGTTCAAATACCAGAAATTTGAAGAAGCACGGTTATTGACTTTATGAAAGATTAGTGATCTTCATTGCAGTCCCATTAACTTTACAACAATTGTAGGAACTTTGGAGAAGTTCTGAGGAATGAAAGGAAATGCTGAGAATTTCACTGAAGCTCCATAAACAAACTGTGGGAACATAAGGGAAGTTAACACGCTGAAAATATGGGGATCTTATTGGAAGCTTAAAGAACCTCAAATCGGTTCTTTTAGCATCTGAAAATTTTCAGGAACTTTAATGAAGTTCCTAGAATTTCAGAGAACTTCACGGGTTTCAAGCGGACTTGGAAAATATAGAAAACTTGAGGGGAATTGTGCATTTTTTTTTATGAAGTTCTAAGCACCTCAGAAAAGCTAGATCTAGAAATTTTTAGGGAATTTCAGATCTTAAGAACAGTTCCCGTAGCTTTGGTCTAGACTTTGGGAGCAGTTTAAAGACCTATAATCGTAAATTTAGAAAAAAGTCAGGATAGTTCCATGATGTGCTGGAAACAAAAATCGAGAACCCTTCTGATGTTCCACGAATTTCAGGGAAGTACAGAAGCTTCAGATAATTAATGAAAACTTAAGAAATATTTCAGGAACTTAGAGAAGTCCAGAAATTTTTTGGGAAATTTAAAGGTGTTTACGGGAATTCCTTTTAATTCCGAGCAGAACCGACATCTTCAATAGAATTGAGAGCTTTAGGGAAGGTTGGAGAACATCAAGACAGATCAGAGAATCAAAGGGCAGTTCAAATAATTTCAAGGAAATTGTAGGAACCTTAAAGAAGTTTCGAGAAACTCAGAAAATTTCCGGAAACTTCAGCAAAGCTCTTAGACAATTTATGGAACTTGATAAAAATTATATGATCACCCGGAAAACGTGAGAGTATTTTAAGGGTGTTATATCATGAAGATTACGGGGGCGACCCCGGCGTACTGGTTAGCATCCATACCTCTCACGCCAAAGTCACGAGTTCAAATCTCACTCCCGGACAAGTCACGAATGACTTAAGAGCGTTAAAAAGACTATAATAAAAAAAAATGAAGATTACAAGAACTAAAAAAAAATGCAAAAAATTTGCTTAGTTGATTAGAGGACATCAACGGAGATCCATTAATTAAAAAAAAAATGCGAGAACTTTTAGCAAACAGCGATATCGTTAAGAAATTCCAGAGAACTTCTGATAATTTATGGTATTTTTAGATAGTTTCATGATATTCAGCGAAGTTCCGAGTACTTCGAGGACGATCATATAGCTTCAGAATAATCCCATTAACTTAAGCAAATGTGTAGCTACTTACAAGGAGTTCCTTGGAGCTATGGGGTATTCCAAGAATTCTATGATTGATCCGAAAACGTCAGAAGCGTCAGGGAATTATGAATATACATATATCAAAAAAATTATCGGATTATTAAGCAATCTTAGGAAACTTCAGGTATCCATAGATAACATCAAGGAAAATTAGTGAGCGTTTATAGTACTTAAGGAAAATTGTCGAAGCTTCAAGACAAATCAATTAATTTCCGTAAAGTAGTTGGTTCTAAAAAATACTGATAAATTCAGGGCAGTCTAGAGAACTTTAAAGAAATTCATTAATCGTTTAGGCAGTTTTAATAATACCAGGAAAGTCTAGACTATTGAAGAAATTTTAAATTAGTGACGATAATTTAAGGGAAGCATCATGAAATTCAGAAAAAAATCTTGAGAACTTCAGTAAAAATCATTATTTCGTTATAATTCCATGAAAATTGCGGGAGCACAATAATTCCAGCAATATAGAAAAACTTCGGAATTTTCACAGAAGGACAGTGGTCTTCAGAAACATTTCGAGAACTTCATAGAAATCAATGGAGCTTAAGGGGAGATCCACGAACTTCAGAAATTTGTATGAACATTATCAAAATGCGGGAGCATTTGAAAGAAGTTTAGTAAGCTCCGAAAATTGGAGGAATTTCATGGGGACGTCAGTTCCATTAGTTTCAGAAAATTAGTGGGAAATTTAAAGCAGTTACCAGATTATCAAATAACTTCAGACACGTTAAAAAGTTAATTGAGGTCTTCGCATAAGTTCAGAAGTTTACTGAAGCTTAAACATTTTTAAGACGGTTCAATTAAATTTAGCGCAGTACAACAAGCTTCATGAGAACTACAAAAACCTTAGAGAAGTTTTGAGAATTTCAGAAAAGTACAGAGAACCCGTTATCATAAGAGAGGTCATTTACATTTTAAAAAAGTTTAGAGAATTTCAACGAATTGGTAAACTTTTAGAGGAGATCCATGATCGTTAGAAAAATTGAGGAAACTTTAGGAAGTCCTTTAAAGTTCATAAAAGTTTAAGAATATGATGAGAAGTATTGTGAGCACCAGGCTGGTTTCTCAAACTAAAAAAAAAAACAATGAGGCACTTTCATTAACTTCGAGAAACATTTTGGGAACTTTCTAGTAGTTCTGAAGACCTCAGAATAGTCCATTCCATATTCAACGGAGATTTCCATTAAAATATTCATCATAATTTCGATGAAGCTATCCTCTGAATTTGCTTTTCTATTAGTTTTCCTCGGAATTACCTTGAAATTCTCCACAATAAGAAACCCTTTG